AAGTGCTGTTAAAAGGAGTAGGGGAAATTTCTCAATATTTCTTATACAAACTTTCTTTCTTTTGGAAAATAGCTTTTGTCTTTTAGTTTGACTGGAATAAAAGCATTTTTATTATGGTATATATTATATTTTGTTTGACCACACACAAGCCACAGTTGTCCAGTGACTATCCTAATTATCCTAACTTGCCTAGTTAACCCAATTAATCTAGTTAAAACTTTAAATGACACTTCAAGGTGAATATTAGTATTTTGCAATATAATGAGTAAAATATTATGTAGTGTTATCATTGCAGAGATCAAATAAATTAGTTGTTAAATGTATTATTTAAAAAAATATGTTTTAAACAGCACTTTTATAATAATTAATATGAAAGGAGCACTAATATTTTTTTTCTACTTTTCTTTGTTGTGATGTGTATTGTGCAGCACATTAGTCAACCTCTGGTTGTGTTTAATAGTGCTTTATAAATAAAACTGATATTGAAATTAATAATTTTGTATTCAACTACATGTGAATATACAGCATACACAGTATGAGCAATTCCAGCATTATGGATGTGACGTTTGCAGTAAAATCTCAACCACAAAAATTCACAGAGAATTATATGTAATATTATATTTAAACATCTGTTTATATTTTTAAAAACAATTAACCACAGAGTTATAGAAGCAGAAAAATATCAATCTGTAAAAAAAAAATTGTAATTTAAATGAGAAAAATAAACATGCATTATTGATGTGACAAAAAAGTTTGTGAGTTTACACTATAAAGCACACTTTGTAGACATTCTGTGAATAATACTGCACAAGCCAAAAGAAATAATGCTAATCAAAAGGATGAGCGCTGGCTCACTATAGAACAAAAATGATTGATTATTTGACATTTTTTTGCATTTATGAGGAACAAGCTTTGTTATGGATGTGACAGATGCAAAATTGGCACTTGTGTGATTTTGGGAAATCAAATATAATAAGCACTGTAAAATACTTGCTTACAAAAAAAAACCGCAGAAACGGTTTTGCTATTTTGGCGAAAACTTAATTTTTTTTCATGGCAAGGTTGACATTTGCATGGAATTGCTCATAACAATTTATTTTCTTGTTGATTCCGACATAAAACTTATTTCAATTTAATTAAACAACTATAATTAAATAATTATCAGAACTGCTAAAATGTTTCTTAAAAAAAAATAACATGAAAACTTTGAACATCTCTAAACATCCAGAAAGTTAAAGCTACCTGCATTGAAAGCTGCCTCTGCTGCCTGTTGCGAGAGATTGACGGCGGTCATCCAGCAGGATTCAAAGTGTGTACAATTCTTTCTCCTGCCAATTACCTGATTTTTTTTAAACATTGAGAAGAAGGTATAGTCAGCATATCACAATGGCATATTCAACAACTATTAGATATTGCAAATATTGCAAAAATGAAAATAATTTAAAGTGTTACAACACATCTATTAGTAGTAGCAGTAGCAGAAGTTATAATAATAATAATAATGATGATAATAACAATAATAATTTAGGAGCTCATGAACTCCTGGGTATTTTAAAATCACTACCTCCTGACGCTGACCAAGAATGACCTTCCAGATGGCATTTTCTTCCTCAGGAGTAAACTTGCTGATGGATGCCTCATATTGCTTGTGTAACTCAACAAGAATGTTTACGGCCTACAGAAGACAAAATATGGAATGTTGATTTTGCAAACCTGTTTAATGATGAAAATGAAACCATCGATTCATTACTGCAATACTAGTGATTACCTTAATGTACCCAGTGAAGGAATCGATCAGTGCTAAAGTAGTTTGTGAGAGGAAAGTGTTTGCACTATCAGTGACCAGAGACGATGCTCTCCTTACTAGATCTTCATGGGACAGATTTTCTGGTTTCTAAATGAGACAAAGGCAAAAAAGAAAAGTTAAAGTGTGTTTTTTTCTTCCTTCAGGTCAGAATTTAGGTGAAAATAACAGAAATTAAATTAAGCTCATAAATATGAATAAGCTAGTTCATTTTTCAAGACCAGTCAGAAATATACATGAGCCAAGTCGCAAGTATTTGCATTGGTAGGCCATAAAATTGATTGTCAAACTAAAATAAACATGCCTGCTTGTAGATTAAAATATTTGCACAAAATGTTACAAATAAAAAATATAAAACACCTTTTAAATAATATTATCGCTTTTGTGAAAACAACAAAAAAATCTGCATTGGGATGTTAGATAATAAATTAAATCTGAAATGGTTTAAAAATAGATAACATATAATAATGCTGTTACAGTATTTTTATTTCTAAGGGATAGTTCACCCAAAACTGAAAATTCTATCATCAAAATTTACTCATCCTTTACTTTGAACAAGTCCTTTACATCCTATTACTCCAAATCTGCTTGACTTTCTTTCAGTCATTGAACAGAATGGGGATATTTTGAAGAAAGCTTGCGACATTAAATTTCATAGCATGTATTTTAACTACTATGGAAGTCAATGGTTTTTACAAAATATATTATTTTATGCTAAATAAAATAATTTAACTTAAGAATTGGAACTTATATATTATATATGTTATATGTTATACATGTAAGGGGGCTTGACAAACCATCTAATGCAGGGGTCACCAATCCTGGTCCTGGAGGGCCGGTGTCCCTGCAGGGTTTAGCTCCATCTTGCCTCAACACACCTGCTTGGATGTTTCAAGAATACCTAGTAAGACCTTGATTAGCTTGTTCAGGTGTGTATGATTAGGGTTGGAGCTAAAATCTGCAGGGCACCGGCCCTCCAGGAACAAGTTTGGTGACCACTGATCTAATGTATAGGATACACACTTCCTCACTTTGTTAGAAACACTTCTATGTTTCTGTTTGTACAGATAAGCTATATTTTTATACTTTGTACTGCTTTTCTACATTCACTTACTCTATTGTGAAAGTCTTTGAATAGTTTCCTTTTATTTTCTATTGCATAACTTCTTCAAATCTTGTTAAATTATTATTGTTTTTATTATTTTTAAGGTCAAAGGCGGTTGTGTAAGCATTTCACTGTATACCAGAGTGTTTACTAAAATGAAACAAATAATAACAAAATAAATATATTCAAATAAAATTAGACTCAAGTGCGAGTAAATTGTGAATATGTTATTAATTTTAGGGGGGTAAAACAGCCTACGATTAGTTGCAAAAACCTCAGTCCGTAATTGACAACCAGTTTATCTCCTAAACACTGTTGTTGCTTGTTACATTTTTAAATTTTAGACATTTTATCAGTAAAATAGTGTATAGTGCAGTGACAGTGTTGTTGTGCAGACCTGAAGGAAGGGAACAGCACAAATAGCACCAGTGACACTCAAAGTCCTCCAGTGTTTCCTGAAGATCCCGGGCAGCAGAAAGAGTCTCCGGCCAGCCTGACACGAGCCGCCGCTGCTCAACAACGAAGCTGCATAGCTAACGTACACACAACAACAGCAAAAGTTAAGGGGAAAGCAACAACACCTTATGACGAATAATACAGTTGCTCAAGTCAAAAGCAGCATTTCGTAAAGATAAATTTAACAAACTAGGCCAAGTGGAGCAGAAAATAAGCTCTACAATGGAGTAGAATCATTAGCGAATGTTTTCTACAACTGCCAAAACATTGATCGGTCAACGCTAACGTTACGTTTGTTTAAGCAACTACTGGTCCTTTATTGATGATTGTACAGATACGACATATGTATAAGTTAGCTAAAGTTAAGCGTGGTCTGTTATTGGTGATTGTACAAACAACAACAAATACTAACGTTATACAAGTTAGATAAAGTTAAACGTAATAACGTTACTTGATACCGATGAATAAATAAACAACCTCAGTCCTGCAGCGAACAACTTCCTCCTGTACGCCGCCATACTTGTTAAGATGATGAAACTGTAACATCTCCTTCTGTCGGTGTTGAAGAGAATTGCACTCTTAACATCTTGATTCATATCCACTTTCTGATGCAACAAACATATTTCTTTCACAATTTTGTCAAAGTGCTTCCCATACCTTTTTTTTAACACAAAGTGTTTATTGACAAATGTGCGTTTAAACTGTAAGTTATTACAGTTTTATAAATAATGTTATAAGTATAGAATTTTAAAATAAATAAAACTTAAAAACTTATAAAAAGGGGGTATGTATTTCGAACCACCTAAACCCCCCATACGGGCCTGGAAGAGTGTTCAAGAACACATTAAACCCCATATGTGAAATTTACAATGTTTATTTTGCTAGCACAGATTATTATTTTTTAAGTAAAAATTAATCTCTGTAAATTAATCCACTTAGTTGATTTGTTTGTTTGGGTAATCTGGCAATTTACTTTGCTGGACAGCCTCAGCCACAATATTCTTAAAGTACAAAAGAAATCAAAACTAACTTATTTTGCTTTCTATTACCTATTTGTATTTATTTACTCCAGTTTACAATGTCAATGTAATAATTTGTGAAACTACTGCTTATTATGTATATATAAGCATTACATTTATTAAATAAACTTAAAATAAAAGTATAATTTCCTTATTGCTGATATATGCATAGTTTAATTTTCTCTTTTGGGAGTCTATATAACATGTGCTGTATTTGAATTGTCATAACCACCACCACAACCAGCCCTACAAATATACGTCTACCTGAAGGCCAACCACAATGTCATGACATTTATATAGTCAAGTTTGTAAAACAAGTTTGAACTGTTCAATAAGTGCCGCAGGTGTTTTGCTTTCTAACCTTATCAGCCTTCTCATCTTTGACCCAAATAATATTTTTCTCTTTTTTTCCTGTGCTTGGATACAGTTGATAGCTACATACTATTTCATCATCTTTTTTTTGATGGAGACCAGTTATTAGTTTGCATTAAAATAGTTGCCACATGTTATATAGTTTATTATAATTTTTGAAGGGAATTATCTATTATAATCGCAAGTCATTTGTGTGAATCTGGCTCCTTAAGTAAGAACAACTTATATGTAGATTCGGCAGAAATGCAAGATTTTTTATATTTTTATTTCAAAATGTACACTGGCACATATCTATTTTTAAAACACCAAAGTACTCAGGCACAACATACAAGCAGGAAATGCTGTGATCACTACATTAAAAAACAAAAACAAAAAACAACAACAACAACAACAACAACAACAACAACATTTCAATACAGACTTGGTACTTCTGTTGTTGGTACTTCTGACAACACTACGGTCTCACAGCTTGACCAACAATCGAGAAGCAGCATCTTCTCACAAGAAAACTCAGTGCATGAATAATAATTAGACACCAACATGCCATCGAAGTACTCACAGAAGCTTCAGAAGCCGGTTTTACATTTTTTTTGGCATGAATGAGGATTCTGCTAAATGTTCCCAGCTGACACATTCACTGAAGTCTGAATACGAGTGGGTCACATCCATCAGTCATGTCTATTGATCATGCTAAGTGTCAAAAGACCCCAAAGATTAACTTCTTATTAAGGAAAAGGCTTGTGTTTGTGAAGGATTTAGATCCTGAGGACTGTTCTCTGTGGAAAAATATTCATCTCTGTTATTCTTTATTGAAATATAATATGATATAATATAATACATAAATAAAAATAATAAAGACAAACATTTGTTTGCATCAGTTTGTTGAGTATGTCTGATTCAACTTTAATAAATAGTGGCAACATACAACACTATACAAAGTGCAAATGTTTAAACCATTGCTATTACACATGTAGCTCTATTAAAACTGGTTTGACTTTACCTTTACCGAATGTGAAGTAATATTTAAAGAGACAACAAAAAGCCTGATCTCGCATACCATAAATAAGAGGACTTAGACACTTGGGGAAAACTATAAACACCACAAAACAAAAATACATCACATTTATTGCAGTTAAATAGTTAGTAGACAGATAAATAGCTTCTTGGACAACTCCAACTAAGATGGACATTGCACCAAGACCCAGCTGTATTAGATGCAGAAGAACAGTCTTATTAGCTTTTTTGGCTGACAGTTTATCACAAGCAGCAGTTTTAGCCACAGCTGCTATAGAGGCATAGGTAAAGATTATAACAAAAGACACCAACACAAAAAATATACACGTGAAAGCTATGTCAATGCTCTTGTAGATCTGCAGTCTGAAAAGTATAATTCTTGTGCAAAATGAATTCAGAACTGTGTTTGCAGAATCAAAAGAATAGAAGATAATGACTTCAGACAAACACTGAATCAATCCCAAGACCCAAACAACGACGATAGCTGTGTGAGTAATTTTAAAACTGGTGAATTCTGCATGTCTGAGAGGAAAACAGATGGCCACATATCTCTCCAGTGACATTAAAGACAGATTTAAGATAGAGACATGAAAGAGAGCTTTTGCAGAAACGAGAAGAAGAAGACAGATGTTTCTGATTATTAAAAACCTACAGACAGCACATATATACACTGAAAGACTAAAAATGAGACTCAATGTATCGACCCAAAGCATGTGACCAAACAGAATATAGCGAGACATCTCCTGAAAAACAGCCTTTTTCCTTAAAGTGAAGATCATGACCCCGTTGACATAAAGGAAAACAATACTTGGTGTCACAATCAAAGATGCCTTCATTGGAGTATTTTGATCAATTAGTCCCAGAGTGAGGTTAGATGCAGATTCATTAAAATTAGACATTTTCATAAATATTAGATATCAACACACAATTAACATAGGTGCTGTTAATGCTGAACAGATCAACAGTGAAATCTACACATTTCTTGCTAGTGCTAATCTAGATTAAGCTCCTCTGAGGTGATGTTGAAGCCACAGCGAGAGTGAGAGAGTAAAAAAGAATGAATCCAGGGGTTTCAAAATATCACGCTTTAAATATCTTTAACCTGAATCCCACCGGGTGTCTTGTTTGTGTATGTAATGTGTGTGTGTGACAGAGTATATGGCCATGGTGAAAGACAAGTTAATCTGACAGAATCGACTTGCTCAAAAATATACAATAGTAAAAAAAAAAATTTAATATTGTGAAGTTCAGCTGTCGAAAATGTTTATCTTTTATCTTCTTGTATTTATTATTGTAATGCCAAGTCTGAATTTTAAACATCATTACGATAAACTTCAGTATAATATATTTATTTTTATATTATAATATTTTTTTGTAATTATATAATTATATTACAACAATTGTTTTAATTATTGTTATTGTAAATATTATAATGCTTTTTTTGTGCTAAGTTAATAATTGTTCTTGACTTTAGGTAAAAATCACTTTTGTTATGCTACACAGAGTACTTTTTCTTCTTCTTCTTTTTCTGAACAAATCATCCATGCATAACTAGTCCTGCAGTTGTTTCATACGGACCCTTGAAAGAGGGGTAACATTTTTCAAGACTTTGTTCTGACCATGCATTTCCAGATGCGATGGTTCCTATCTCCGCATGAGGGGTACGGCTACTGCATCATGTGTCTGGGGGTCCAGCTGGTTGATGCAGAGCTCGCGAACAGCTTATTCCCTCACTGTGAGGGCCACTGTTGTTCCCCACAAAGCGATGAGCACTTGGCCAGATCTGGGGATTACAGTAGGGCTTATCCGTTGCCTCCGGTCTTGCTGACCCCTCACTCCTCCTCAGCACACCCTATACAAACTTACAGTGTTTGTGGCAGCTCATTCCCCGTTCATCCGGGATGACCACACTGGACTGACACAGTTTCAATTTACAAGAACTTCTATGTTAAGCTGTTTTGACACAATCAACATTGTAAAAGTGCTATAGAAATAAAGATGAATTGAACTGAAATTAAACCACGCTTGCTGGATGACACTTCAGATCATTTTGGAAGGGCACTTTTTATTCAAGACTATAGGGCATGTGCACTGCACAGGTTGAGCCTTAGTTGTGCACGTGTGTGGTGTATAAATAGTCTGAATGATCAGTCATCACAAGTCTCAGCTGTGTGTGTGTCTCATCAGCCGTGATGAGCAGCTGGTGTTTTACATGGCCTGATAGGATTTGTAGTTCCTAAACATGACATTTGCAGTTTCCCAGTGATCTGTCAGGAAGGATCACTGGTGATCGTGAAAGTTCTCTAAGAGCGGATTCCAGACACTCCCAGAACAGTTCAGGAGGGAGGTGGAGCGGAGGCGGAACAGGGGGAGAGATGGAGGGTCTGGAGAATGGAGCTGTGGAAGGTCTGGAGCATGGAGCTGCGGAGGACCTGGAGCATGGGGCTGTGGAGGGATGATCCGCTTCACCACCATGGCTAGTGGCTGCGTCGAGCTGCCGACACCCCTTGGTGCACTTTGCAACAGATTTTGAGGGTGTCAGAGAATGGACTTATTTATTTCTCTCACATCTCTCCCTTCCAGCCTCCCCAAGGGATCCTAGAAGGAAGGTTAGTGCCAATCTCTCAGTTTTAGCTCTTCCTCCCCATCCTGAGCTTCCCCACCACAGGTGTGCCTGCGGTCGCTCCAGTAATGGTGCTTGCTAGTGCTGCCCAGCCTGACGTAGTAGTTCGTCCAGATATTCAGATTCAGCTGTGTGATTCAATTCATTATATGGCCTCCCGATTTTACAGGCACGCATTTCATGGCGGTCAATGCCGCAGGTGCCCAAGTCTCACGCGAGGAGATGGCTATACTCCTGGCGAAGGATGCAATCTAGCTGGTCCCTCCAACTGAAATGAAGAGCGGGTTTTACAGCCCATACTTTATTGTACCCAAGAGCAGTGGGTCATAATCAATTCTTTCTGCTCATTCTGAACCATACCTGAACAGGGTGCCATTCAAAGTGCTCATTTAGAAATGCATCCAATGATGCGTCAGTCCCAGGGATTGGTTGCAGCTTTAGACCTGAAGACCTCACTTCTATGTTTCGATTCTCCCTCTCCACAAATCATTTCTTCAGTGAGCATATGTGGGCAGGACACTGCAGTACAGGGTCCTCCCTTTCAGGCTATGCTTGATTTTGCAGGTTTTCTCGAAGCTTGTGGATGGTGCCCTTGCACCTTTTCAGCTCACGGGCATCTGCATTCTTGGCTATTTTGGACAGTCTTGGAATCAGCTGATTATGCACAGGGACCTGGTGCTCTGGCACCAGATGGGCTTGGCGCACGTGGGATGCACCAGGTGGCCATGAGCATGCTATGTTACTGCAGCTTCAGTTACCCAGGGTGCCCTTAGAACAAGTGTCAGACCCAGACTCCAGTTGTATTGGTATATCAATTGCCTGGAGCTATTGACAGTGTTTTTCGCTTTCTGCCGGTTCATTGCTAGAATAGAAACACAAGCTGGTAAGGATGGAAAACGTGGCTTCTGTAGCGTATATCAACCGTGTGGATGGTATGCACTCCCGGCACATTTTTCAGCATGCTAGCTATATTGAAATCGCTGTGTGTTATTCACATCCTTAACGAGCTCTTTTGTGCAGCCAATGGCTCTCAAGGCAGCTTACATAGTGGAGGCTCCACTCCGGTGCAGTTCAGATGATGTGGGAGCACATCGGAGAAGCCAAGGTCTCCCCGGCTGATATATTTTTTTGTTGTATTGCATTTATGTTACTAACATATTCCTGTTTGCACTATAGCTCCAGTCCCCTGCTGATATAACAGGGTTGAAAACAGTAGTGAGGTTCCAAATACGAATTTATTTAAAGAGTTGTCAGGCAGTCAAGGTAAATACAGGAGCAAAAGGAAGCATAGGGGAATCCAAAAGAGTAGTTATAGTCACAGGCAAAGATGTAGAGATAGGCAGTAAAACAATACAAAACAGTAAACAAACAATGGATCAAAAACACAGCAAGACAAAACAGGAAAACACTTCGTAAAGCTTGTAAGAACAGCACCAGATGTGTGTGTGTGTGTGTGTGTGGTATATATAGTCCAAGTAATCAGTCCTGATGAGCTTCAGCTGTGTGTGTAATCAAGAGGTGACCTGAAACTGGTGTGTGACTGCGGTGCAAGATGGGAAATGTATCTTGTTGGAATGACAGAGGTTGCGTCCGAAACCGCATACATAAAATCAGTATGTAAGCCGAGTAGTATATCTAAAATCATAAAATGTGGAAATCAGTATGCGAGAAGTACCCGGATGACTTACTACTTCCGGTGAGATTCTGATGTGCGCATCCCATGCACGCTGTGCTATCCCATGATGCCCCGCAAGCGAATTCATAAATTGAAGTGAAGTGACGCAACTGACGCAGGTAGGTTCGGAATTCGGACATACTACTCAGTTCGCATACTGATTTTAGCGTACTATATAGTATAAAAGTATGCAATTTCGGACGCAGCCTCTGTGTCATGCGCTCTCCCATCTATTGTCTAGTCCCACCCTCCTTGTTAACCCATTATTAGTTAATTATGTTCATCTGTTGTGTGTTAATTTTCTCCTGCTTATATTCTCCTCATGTCTATTGTCCTGTGCCAGTTCGTCCTTGTACATCACTGTGTGTCATCGTTTCTCTCTTTGTCCTGTCGTGTGTTTCAGCTCTGATCCCTACCAAGTTTGTTTGTTTGTTTATTTGTTTTGTTAATATTTTCCCCCTCGGGGTTGTTTATTTTGCTATTTATTTTATTTTTATTAATAATTAATTTTCATTTATCTGCACTTGAGTCCTCGCTCCCTTTTTCCCCAAACCCCGATCGTGAACTGAGTAGTAGGCGGTTTGGACGTAGCCAGAGAATGTTCTCCAGTGATCTGCATAGGCTACAATGCTGATGATCATAACACCTGCTACCCTCCAAAGAATTTAATGTGAATATCTTATTTGTCTAAAACACTGTTTTTAAGACGAAAAAGAAATGTTGCAAAATTTCCAATCTGTTCAAGGCTTTAAGTGTAGGTAAGTTGTTTACCTGTAAAGAGGCCTACTGTAGTTTTTATAACTTTAGGGTTAATATTTGCTAGAAGTGTGCACTTGCACATATACTCATTCATTCATTCATTTTCTTTTCCCTTTAAAAAATCTGGGTTCGCAACAACGGAATGAACCGCTAACTTATCCAGCATATGTTTTACGCAGTGGATGCCCTTTCAGTCGCATCACTGGGAAACACCCACACATTCTCATTCACACAATACACTACAGACAGTTTAACTTTGCCTGCGCCCATACTATTATCACATAAAATACTATTAGTTGATATTTTTAATTGTAAAGTAACATGGGTATTTGAACAGTATTTTAGACAAATAATGTATTCACATTGAATACTTTGGAAGGTAGCAGGTGTTATGATCATCAGCCTCCTGTCCCTGATCTGGTTAAAATAAAATATGCAAATGATCCACATTCTTCTGATCTTTTGTTATACAAAAATACAGTACTTCTTAATGCAAATGTAGTTTTAGGTGCAGAGAATATATTAATGTTTGACCCATTAAATCTTGAAAAGCTGCTAAAATTCATTTTTGTTAAACAATCTGTGCAATCAAAGAATTGGAAATACCAAAAAGACATTTAAAAGATAAAATCATCTCATAATATTTTTTTTTTTTTTTAATATTTGGTGGTAAATAAGCACATATAGTTACTGACTTTAGATATCATTTCGATCTACGTTATGCCTGACAAAAGCTTCCTCATCGATTCTAGTTGTAAGAGAAACAAATATTAACCTTCTAGTTTATCATTTGGAAAAGTGGCAGAAGGTAGATTTTTGCAATGAATAATCTGTTAAATGCATCCCAATCATCAGAAATACAGAAGAAGACCTATTGGAAGTCACATAGACCCAAGATTCTCACAGAAATCAGTCAATTTTGATAAAGGAAAAAATCATGGTTTGGGTTACAATCAGTATGGGGGCTTGCGAGAGATCTGCAGAGTGGATGGCAACATCAACAGCCTAAGTTGTCAAGACATTTGTGCTGCCCATTACATTACAAACCAAAGCCATACCTTACTGTCCTAATTAAATAATAAAAAATCTAGGCATGATCATTTTTTATTTAGGTAAAATGAGCATAATCTAGAGGCATTTGGCTTTCATATAAACCAATTCTGATACCATATGATCAACTAGAAGTCATGTTATTATTTGATGTTCCTAAAACTTCGATAGGAGACAAGATCTTTATCAGGTAGTGTACAGTCTCAATTACAACAATAATTTTCATGTCACATAATAGGTTTAAAACAATAAAAAACAAGTTGCCACTTCTAGGGGCACAATGTGCTGTGAAAATGAAACATTGTAAACAAGATTTAACACAATTAAATCCATCAGCGTAATTTGCATCAGTAAGTTGAATTTATGTGTTTCAACTGTAATGTGTCATCACAACATATTAAATCAAATCAAGCGTAAAAATTTAAACCATTGATATTAAACGTGTAGCTCTATTATAACTGGTTTGACTTTATCTCTACCAAATGTGAAGTAATATTTGAACAGACAGAAGAATACCTGATCTCTCATACCATATATAAGAGGACTTAGGCACTTAGGAAGAATTACAAATACTACAAAGCAAATATACATTACATTTACTGCAGTTATGTAGTCAATAGATATATAAATAGCTTCTTGGACAACTCCAACTAAGATGGACATTGCGCCAAGACCCAGCTGTATTAGATGCAGAAGAACAGTCTTATTAGCTTTTTTAGCTGACAGTTTATCACAAGCAGCAGTTTTTGCCACAGTTGCTATAGAGGCATAGGTAAAGATTATAACAAAAGACACCAACACAAAAAATATGCATGTGAAAGCTATGTCAATGCTCTTGTAGATCTGCAGTTTGAAAAGAGCAATTCTTGAGCAAAATGAATTCAGAACTGTGTTTGCAGGATCAATGGAATAAAAGATAATGATTTCAGACAAACACTGAATCAACCCCAAGACCCAAACAACACAGATAGCTGTGTGAGTTCTTTCAAAATTGGTAATTTCTGCATGTCTGAGAGGAAAACAGATGGCCACATATCTCTCCAGTGACATTAGAGATAGATTTAAGATAGAGACATGAAAGAGAGCTTTTCCAGCAATGACAAGAGCAAGACAGATGTTTCTGAATATTAAAATCCTACTGACAGCACATATGAACAAAACCACACTCATAAAAATATTTAATGTATCGACCCACAGCATGTGACCAAACAGAATATAGCGAGACATTTCCTGAAAAACAGCCTTTTTCCTCAAAGTGAAGATCATGACCCCGTTGACATAGAGGAAAACAACACTTGGTGTCACAATCAAAAATGCCTTTGTTGGTCCATTTTGATCAGTCAGTCTCTGAGTAAGGTTAGATGCAGATTCATTAAAATTAGACATTTTCAGAAATGTCTAATTATTAACACATATTATGTTAACACTGATCAGAGTAACAGTGAAATCTACAAATTCCTTATTACTGCTATTCTTGAGTATGATCCTTCCTCACATGTTGTAGTCATAAAGAGAGCGAGAGAGAGAGAAAGAATGAGTACAATGCTGTCAAATTATTACTCTTTAAATAGCTTCAACCTGAATCCCACTGTGAGTTTTGTGTGCGTGCGTGTGTGTGTGTGTGTGCGTGTGTGTGTGTGTGTGTGTGTGTGTATGATAAATAAAATGGCCATGGTGAAAGAACAGTACATTTAACATTCTCTACTAATTTATGCAAACATATTCAAAATGGAATAAATCAATATGAAGCAAGTCTGCAAAACAGAAAAAGAAGACACCAATGTTATATATTTTGTGATCTACTTACGACATAAATTATCAAATTATATCTATTTTGTAATTATTAATTACTCTTTTTAACTCAGTTTAAACAATTTCTGTAGTTTTTATTTAGAATATATTTAGCAAGGGTTTCAGTAACGTGTTAACCTAATTTCTGCATGGTCAATGAAAACCATTAGTGCATGCAATGCACAAATATTATAATGCTTTCTGATGTATAGCAAACTTTGTATAAAATAATGTAAGGATGCACCGATATGTATTTTTGGGTCGATACCTATAACCGATATATCTTTTGATTTGGAGGCAGATAAAAAATATTAGCGGATAAATATAAATATTTAAAAATGTATTATTTTTATACAGTGAACGACTGATTTCATTTTAAAAACTTCATAAAAATGTGAACTGATCCTAAAATAGCCTACTCAAAGCAAAAAAAAAAAAAAAAGCAGTAATTTCAAAACTGCAGGGTGATTATATAGACCTATTCACAATTTCACATAAATCTGCATGCCACAAATAAATGATTTATTTTTGTTCACAGAGCAAATTAACATGTAACTTGACTGTTGCATAAAAATAATAGGTTGAATAACAAAACTAGATTTAATTAACAAACAAGTTGAATAAATATATTTGAAATAAAATGAAATTGAAAATGAAAGAACTAAGAACTGACACATGTTCTCGAATTAAAGTGTTTTAGTAATGTACACTTGTTAGTCACTTGACACTTTTATTAACACACTCCTGCAAGATTCTCTCATTCTTACAAGGCAGGCAGATCTGTTCAATTAAGTAATTTATTGGCTTAAAGATATCGGCCTAATTCTGATATCGGCCCAATAACGATAACATTAAAAATAGTATTTATCAGGGGATTTCAATATGGCCACCAATATATTGTGCATCTCTAAAATAATACATAGTAACAACCCAACATGGTCTGAATGTCTAACACAGATTAAACTGGAAAGTTATTAAAATAGCTTGAATACGAAATTGTACAAACCCAAAACAGAAAAAGTTTGGACTGGAAAACGCACATAAAAAATAGTAGAGATTTTTAAATGATCTAATATCAGTACCGATTGAATACCGATCTTGATACTTTTGTCCACCCTAACAATGCTCCCAAACCAACCCGATTGAGCTTGAAAAGACCAAAGTGCCCCAAAATAGGTGTTTCTTTGGTTTAGCATTGTAGCCAAAGGTGCTTTAAGACCTGTATTCAGCAAAAGCTGGGAATACTTGTGTCCATGTGATTTATAAAAATAAACTTCTAAAGATTTAAATATATATATTTAACTTTGTCATTATGGGGTGCTGTTCTTAAAAATGTAAGGGTACTGAATTTAATCCATTCTGGAATAAGACGTTTCATAACATAATACACTATGGAAAAAGTAAAATGCTGTAATTACTGCACAGATGCATTGTATGCTATGTTTATTTTTATAATCTCAGCAAAACCAGAGCAACCCTCACATTTATCTTTTTTTTAATCAAATTGCCTAGTGTGTTCATAGTTAAATTAAGAAAAGGAAATATCAACTAATTTAATATATTATGTTATGAAAGTGGAAGGTTGGTTTTCTCTGCTCAGTTTTATAAGGTACCAATCTAAAGAAAGCAGGTAAAAGTAACACTGAGGCAGTGTTGTAGTAAGTGAAGTAAAGTAGATTTACTCTACAAGTGTTATCTGACCAGTAGTGGTGACACATAAAGTAAATAAGATGAGGAAACCGCACAACTACAACTGTCTAACAGACATGCCCACAGATTAAATAAAACAATGATATCTTACTAGAGGGTGCGCAACTTCAAAGACATGATCACAATCTTTATATTATGATTTTATTTGCTTTATTTTTTCATATCTTAAATATATAAAGATGACGTCTATTTGAAGTTATCATTATGGTGACTAATGCTCCGCTGAATTGTCTTCTTGTTTATTGAATTTTCATCAGTTGTTGAAATTACACTGCCATATACACATGACAAATTAGCATTAGAGTGCCTAAAACCACTATATACTAGCATAAACCAATCTGGATAAGAATAGTGATAGAGGAGAGACATCTCATTACACTTAAACAGTTTATTTTCTTTGACACTTTTTGAAGGAGAACAAACGGCCAATTCAAACTTCATTTGAAAAGTCAAACCAAAACGATATAAAATGACTTTTACACAAATCTTTACAAATTCAGCAATTATGAAACAAAGTTCATATCTCTGTGAAACAAACTATATTGTTAAAAAGGTTTAACAAGTCTGTGTGCTTGTATTTTTTGCCTCAGTTATTTGTGATTGTCTGTTTGCAGTTTGATATATCATCACAACATATGGAGTATAATCTTTTAAACATGTAATTCTATGGTAACTGGTTTGACTTTACCTTTACCAAATGTAAAGTAGTATTTAAACAGACAGCAAAAGGCCTGATCTCTCATACCATATATAAGAGGACTTAGACATTTGGGGAAAATTATAAACACTAGGAAGCAAAAATACATTACATTTAGTGCAGTCAAGAAGTCAGTATAAACATAAATAGCTTCTTGAATAACTCCAACTAAGATGGAAGATGCGCCAAGACCCAGCTGTATTAGATGCAGAAGAACAGTCTTGTTAGCTTTTTTGGCTGACAGTTTATCACAGGCAGCCGTTTTAGCCACAGCTGCTATAGAGGCATAGGTAAAGATTATAACAAAACACACTAACACAAAAAATATACACGTGAAAGCTATATCAAATTTCTTATATATCTGCAATCTGAACAGAGTAGTCCTTGAACAAAACAAATTCATTGCTATGTTTGTAGTATCAAAAGAATAAAAGATAATCATCTCAGACAAACACTGAATCAAACCCAAGACCCAAACAACACAGATAGCTGTGTGAGTTCTTTTAAAACTGGTAAATTCTGCATGTCTGAGAGGAAAACAGATGGCCACATATCTCTCCAGTGACATTAATGCTAGATTTAAAGTTGAGACCTGAAAGAGAGCTGTTGCAGCAATGAGAAGAAGAAGACAGACATTCTTCATGATTAAAATCCTACTGACAGCACATATATACAACACCACACTCATAAAGAGATTGAGAGTATCGACCCAAAGCATGTGACCGAAGAGAATATAGCGGGATGTTTCCTGAAAAACAGCCTTTTTCCTCAAAGTAAAGAGCATGACCCCATTGACATAGAGGAAAATAACACATGGTGTCACAAACAAAAATGCCTTAGTTGGTGCATCTTGATCTATCAGTCTCTGAGTAAGGTTAGATGCAGATGCATTTAAATTAGACATTTTTAGAAAAATATCAATATATAATTAAACACAGATGCTGTTAACACTGAACCGAGTTCCTTGTAATCCTCTGCTAATCTTTGCCATCACATGATGAAAAGAGAATAATTAGAGTGCTGTCAGAGTATCACCCATTAAATATCTTCCAAATGAATCCCATTGGGTGTTTTGTGTGTGCATGCTCACTAGATTGATGAACATTATGTGGACCTGTGCACATTCCTCTTATCATTCAGGTTTCTGGCCGTCACACTGTACTATGAGACATAGAGATGCCTGCAATTCAAATCGTAGAATAAACATAATTTAATGTTTTGCAATTATAAACGTTCAGAATGTTTTCTTCAATAGTTGGGTATAGGAGATATAAATAGCTGAATCTGGTATAATATCTTTCGGACCTGTTTAAGCTAACTGACTGTATTAATAATGTTAAAGACTGGATGACCAACAATTTTCTTCTATTAAACAAAGTCAAAACAGAATTATTACTTATTGGGCCTAAATCCTGTACACAGCAAATCTCACAACTCTTCTGGAGGTTCTATCTAACTCTTTGGCTCCCTAAGTTTTCCTCAGACTAATTGGTTCTCAGCTCAGACTTAGTGCTTGGAGCCCACTGAGCTACTTTGGACCCTAAAGGCAAGTACTCTATCTAGGTCTGTTGACCTATTGGCTCCACCTTGGCTTTGTCTCCCTTGTCTCCACTAGTGTCCATCACTCTGTACTCTGATGTCACTATGGTTCACCTTGTTTTACTATGTTTTGCTTTTTGTTTCCCATGTTGTATTTGATGCCATAGTTACTTTGGCCCCGTTTCTAGATTGATTAATTTTCCTTACCTATTTATTTATGCTTCATCACTTCTTGTTCAGTATTGTCTATTCTGCTTCTTTTTTTTCAAATGAATAAAGTAAAGCTATGTTCCATTTGGGCTTTCCTGACCCCTGGGCACTCCGTTGATGTGCACAAAAGAGCAGTTTCCATTACATTTTTACAGTTTACAGACGTGTTCTCCCCCCAAAGCGGTCACACTGACTTAATTCGGCCCCACATCGAGACCGAACTGGGCACGGTTGTTAGGACCCGACTGTATTGCTTGCCTGAACATTAAAAAAGTGGTTTAGGAACAATTGATAAAAATCCTGTAAATGGGAGTAGTAGAAGAATCCCGCAGTGACTGGGCCAGCCTGATTGTTTTGGCACCCAAGACAAAAGGCTCAGTCCGGAGTACTGCAAATTAAACACTGTGTCGCAGTTTGATGCATATCTGATGTCGCGGGTTGACATGTTGCTCGACCGGTCAGGTGCTGCTCACTGCTATTCAACATTGGATCTGACAAAGGGATATTGTCAGATTCCCTTAACTCCTCTATAATGGAAAAATTATTGGCTTTACTACGCCGTTTGGCTTACACCAAATCGTGACACTTCCATTCAGGTTGTTCAGGGCACTGACCATTTTCCAGTGCCTGATGGATAAAATACTGGCCCGTCACTCGGCATATGCTGCTGCTTATTGGATGATATTATCATATATGGTAATGATTGGCAGTGGGATATGCAACATGTGCGGGCGGTGTAATCATCACTAAGGCAGGCCTGGCTTACAGCCAACCAGAGGAAATGTGCTATTGGATATATGGAGGTGAGGTATCTGGGCTTCCATTTGGGTCATGGGAAGGTGCAGCTCCAACTTGATAAAACTGCATTCATTGCAACCTGTCCAAGACCAAAGACAAAAAAGGAGGTAAGAACCTTGTCAGCTCCCTGACTAATCTTACTAAAAAGGGGGGACCAGATACCGTCCAATGGTCGGAACAGTGCCAACAGGCCTTCACACTGTGGTTAAGGCTGCACACTGCGGGGGCCGCTATTGCATGCTCCTAATTTTGCTCTTCCCTTTCTGTTACAAACAGATGCATCTGAACAGAGTCTGGGGCGGTTCTCTCCCAGGAGGTGGACTGTCTAACCGAGAGGCTAAGTACAGCACTATAGAAAGGGAATGTTTGGCGATATGGTGACCTATCCTTACCCCCTGCTATTTTCTCCTGGGCTAAGAATTTGTCCTCTGTCCGGCCCATGCTCCACCATCGCTCCACCGCATGAAGGATACTAACGTGCAGATCATCCACTGGTATCTTGCGTTACAGCCATTTAAGTTCAGGATGGTCCAGGGGCCAGGGCTGGGGCCTGTGCTATGCTCTAAGAATTACTGCAAAAATAAAGAAAAATATTACTTACCTTATCGCCGTCCTTGTCTTCTTCCTCCTAAAACAAGGGACCTTTCTACACCGGTCAATTGGGATGAAATTAGCTCAGTGTCAAAAACTCTTGTTGCTCCATGCTCTCTAACTCGGATTTACGTGCACTTTTTCTATTCTGCAAGTAAGTTTCCCACTCAGCAAACCGTAGAGAATTCCTCCGAGGCCCCCAGTACCCAACTAGGCGGAGTGGTCGAGTGCCTGGCTCAGTGTGATGTCTGGTTTGCCCGTTTGGTCTACTCACATACTGGGGTTTGGTGCCAGCTATGCACGGTCCCCTTTGGTGATGCCATATGTTTATATGCTTATATGCATATGCTTAGGAGTGTTCCCCCTGACCAGACGGACCCCTGTCTTCCCTACCCGCTAACTAGCTTATCACATGTAGCACTCCCCCTCATTAGGGCTAGGGCATCAAGTCTCCCCTCTTGGGGAGCAGGTGGTCTCTGCAGCGTCCTTTCCCTTCGGGGACTAACACGCTTTCCCAACGTAGTGTCGTATTTCTAAAAATCCCTAGATTATATTAGCTAGGTAAAAACACATGTACGACCCCCAATCTAAATTCTATTAATCAATCTCATGTAATGGTAATATTCTGGGCCTAGGGATGTCTGTGCGCTCATGGAACGCTTGGCAAACTGAACATCAGTAGCGTGATGGGCTTAGCAGCTGTGGCATTTTTCATACATACCCATATGTCTGGAAGACACACATTGGAGTTCTCATAAGAAAAGGAACGTCCTGGTTGCGTCTGTAACCCACAATCCCTGAATAGGGAACGGAGACATGTGTCTCCACTCCCACAGCACCTGAGTCTCCAGCTGTTAGCTAAGTGATCGGCTCTTCAGCAGGCATATTATAGAGGCTCACTCCACAGCGGGCACTGCTATAACGCTAATGCGTTGAGTAATGCGTTACAAAAGTAATGTATTACAGTAATGTATTACATTTTCCTGTAACGCAGTAGTGTAAGGCATTACTAATACATTTTCAGTAATATTTTACTCGGTACATGTTTAGTAACGCGTGTGTTACAACAAACTTTTCGCCTGCAAGACATTAACAAATAAAAAAATAACGCTGTTCTATTTCCTGTTCGTGGTTAGTGAATTTATGCGCCTGTTGTTATTAGTCTCCCTTTGGCTATGGGACCTTTTTACTTTGAAAGCGGAATGATTTCAGCTTCTGAGCTCAAGGTTCGGGGCTATTGGCTCAGTCCGGTTCACAGTAAGGTTAAGTCCTGACGCGCAGCGGAAAAGCGGCAAATAGATGAAAATGGCAGAAGACAGTGCATTCGCGAGATGGACGTAAGTATGGCGTTATTTCACTGACAAATGTCGTAAGCTCATTCATGTACTACGAGTGAGTGAACGTGCCGGTTTTCTCTGTGGACAAAACTCCTCGCGTTCACTCAACATTGGCTGGGCTGCTCATGTGCTAACGACCTGCTCTCGCTTCGTCAGATGATGCAGACTCACAATCTGTGCCTTGTGTTTCCTCTTCCTTTCGTGCTGTTGCTCTTCAGAGATCCTCCTATTTAATTGTTATCCCAAGAATGTTCATATGGTTTATATATTGCTACACTATTTACCTACAGGTTAAGATAAAATCTATAATAAATACTAGTGTTTTTAAGTGTAAGGTATACTGCCTATGTTTTAGGTTAGTATTTACAATGAATGCTTAAGCATACTGTCGTATTAAGAATAGTGAACTCATAAAATGAAATATAAAGTGTAGTTTTACTACAGTAAAGTGTGGTGAATTGTAGTACAATATACCCTATATTGTAAAAAACTACAGCACTGGATCATTTGTTTATATTACACTTGTTGTGTTACCATAGCAACTATAGTATTACCACAACAGAGTAATTGAAGTACTTAATGACAATAGATGTGTTCAGGGGCCCTGTGGAACAGTTTCTTCTCAAAATGAAGTCGATAACAGGGAAAATGTCCTCCATAATCACATCAACAATGTGGAAGACAACAGACACTAGTTCACTTTAGTTGCCATGATAAAATGTGATTGATAATGAGATTTATTTAAAGAGTGAATAGTACAGTAGGCTATGATACCTTATCAAGTGTTTCTATTAGTTACATTTCTGCTTGCGTTAGTTTTTATTTTTGTCTAAATGTTTTTTATTTGATTAGTATGGTGCACCTTTTGGATGTTTAACAAATGTTTTTTCAAATAAAACTTATTCTTTACATCTAACGTCTATTCTCTGCATCTTTAAGTGTTTAAAACTGGAAATATCTCATCATATAACATACAGCCAAAAATGTTATTGTTTATTAGATAAGAAATTATAAGTCAATTTTAGTATTTTGGTTATTGTAAATAAACAGTGTACTAATATAATTTATATCAAAAAGCTTGAAAGAAAGAGGGAACACAAGACACATATTGTGAGTCTGCATATAATCTCACTGAGAGAGCAGTGTACTGAGAGCATGCAAGAAAATTTGTGCGTGAGCAATGCATATTTGAGAGATTGTGAGAATTTGTGCACGAGCAGCATTTTTATTTTACTGTTATTTTAAATAACAGTAATTAGTAATCTGTAATGTATTACAGTTTGGAAGTAACTTGTACAACACTGCTAATGACTAATCAGTATGAGTTGTTGAGCCAAGCTTCGCCAGCTCATTTGGCATTCATCTTGGATTCACATCTTGCACCCTTAAACCTCTTCAAATGATCCAAAATGCTGCAGTTTTTCTGGTCTTCAATGAGCCCAATAGGGCCAATGTCAAACTTCTCTTCACTTTCCTGCAATAGTTAACGGTTGAAGCTTGTTTCTAGTTTCAATCATTAATACTTGCTTACAGAACAGACAATACCTCTGCATTACCTTACCTCCACTTGCTTCTGCAAGTCTAAAACCCCATCCAGGAGCCACTGATGAAATAACACACACAGACTGCTGAGTCACTG